CTTTGAATGTGTTTTTTAATGGCATTCAGCTGATAGCTACCCATGAAAATTATTTGAAAATACTTTTGCAACAGAGGCATTTTAATATACTTCTTTTGCAGTCCAGAACTTTTAGGGAGAGGTTGTTTTTGTTTAGAAACACTAGTTTTGATTATGTTGTACCCAGCAGTTCAAGTTTAAGTTTTGATTGGCTAATCTAAATTCCATGAAGGCAGGGGCCAAGTGTGTCCTCATCACTTTGTCTTCAGTGCCAAATACATGGCATGTAATGTTCACTCAATGAACACCTGTGGAATTCATGCACATTTCCTGATTCTAGTCAATCGAAACATTCAATAGCTCTCGCATGACTAGAGTTTTGTCTCTCCTTTTGCCCCTATCCCTGCCAACAAACCAGACACTTTCTATTTTCTACAAAGAAAAAGTCCTTTTTCCTAGAATGTGTATGTACTCAATTGACAAAAAGCATCTAATAACCAAATTTGGCATCTGCTTTAATAAATTCTAACAAGCATGGTAACACATCAAGTGTATAAAATACTACATAGTAAAGACAGAGGAAACTGTCTTACAGGGTTATTTTCTTAGTATGCTGTCTGATTTCCTCATGATTGAATTCAGAGTAGGGAAATACCCTCACAGAGATTTCTTTAAATCACTGTTCCTTGCAAAGGAAACATATATTTATATATGTTGAAACAGAGAGCAAGCCTAGTTACAGGTATTATCATGTTACAGGATTTGCATTTGAGAATTAGAGAAACCAGCTGATGAGTTGTTTCCCTCAGGCTGGATTCTTGGTTGACAGGAAATGGGAATTATTGATGAAGTTCTGTGGGATCACCTTACTAACAGTATTGGTAGACTTCTAGTGTGAGCAGGTTTTTAGAGAACACAGACAACTGAATGAAATAATTAGTGAGCCACACCTATTCAGGTCCCATTAGATCAAATGGGAGCTGAACTTTTGCTTATTCCTTCAGACTAGGGACTCTTTTTAGCTATATAGTCATTGAGTTCCTATGTAAATTGAGTTCTAGGGAAGCAAAAGTATAGTATTTTAATTAATGAACATCCAATTATAAAATTAGTTTTTAAGTATTTATCCCCAATTTACACTAGTAGTGTATATTACATCCAAACCCATTTATGTCATTTTCTCACCAATGTAGACAATAAAACAATGTAAACAAATGCAACTGAAATTTGAGTTTCAGGGTTGTATGAAGTCACTGAGTGTGAATAATGATGGAGAACTTTTCAAATCACAACAAAAGTATTACAACATAGGTATTTGAGAGCTAAATCAATTAAAAAGAGAAAAAAGGAACATTTATATGGATGCCATAGGAGATGCTGCAAGACAAAATTACCTGAATAATAATAACTGGTTAATAAAGGTCTTTGGAAAAATTAAATCCCTGGAATATTTTTGAAAAAAAGACCAACTCTGTGATCATAGTGCATAAGTCAAAATTGAAATGGACATTATGTTATTTTACCGTTTTGTTGGAGATACTCCGTTGCCTCGCAAATCAACCTTAATTGAACGAATGAGCTGCTTCATATTAGTGTAGGTACTTCCATTGTCACTTTTTAAAAAAAAATTGTGTGCATGTTTGGATCACTTTACAAATGGTCCAAGTTTTCCCCAAATGTGTTCTGCAAAATACTATAGCCCTAGTCATCTGTGAAAAAAAAGGGATCCACAGTTGTACAGCCTATTTTCTTTTTCTCACTCTCTATTCTCTCTTCTGCTGTCCCCAAACTACTGATCTGTGTAGACTTCAGGTTCCTTTGCCCTCTGCCTTCCTCTTGGGTTTCACTAAAAGGAGGGTTGGCTGAGATGGAAAGAGACCAGCAAGATATTAAGAAGATGGGATATGAGGCTAGGTATTTATTCCTGGGTCTCTTACCTTTTTCCTGCTGGATTGCCACTAGTTCACTGTCTTCTAAGGTCACAGCTTCTGTGAGGCGGTTCTTGCCATTTCACAGTTCTCTTTGTTTAACTGCTCCCCCTCTCTTATATCTTCAGATCTGGAGATGGTAACAGTACTACATCCTCCCTTGTTGGTTTCTATTGAATGTTTCCCAATTATCCACTGTGAGTGTACCATGTTTCCTTTGGGGATGCTGATTTATATAATGGTTACTTTCTTGGAAAGATTAAAAATTCACATTAACATATTAAAGGCACTAAATAACATAGCAATAAATAATGTTTAAGTTTAGCCTAGTGTTTGCCAAACTATTTATGGTACCATTTTTTTCTAGTAAGATATCTAAGAATATCCCTCAAACACATTAGATAATATTCTTTGCCTTAAAATAAAGCCAAATTTAATGGGTTATAGTCTTTATGACTACAGGTAATCATAATAAATATATCAAATATGCTTAAGTTCCTATCATTCTCTAATAAGCACACTTTAGTGCCTAAACTTCATACATCTCTTTCGGTTGATATTTTTCCATTGGATGTTGCTGTGGATATACCCTTTAAAAATAAACCTTTATTTTTAAATAAAGATTTCAATTTATAAACTGATGTGGTAATTTTTAATGTTACATATTCTCGGGTTATCAGCATATTGTAGGGCTGCATTTTTTGTGCTGGGTGGTTGTGACCCATTTTGTCCTACGAGTTGAACACAAGTATTATTTTAGTCAAGAACTTATTGTGAGACACTCCAAAGCCCTTTTTGCTTTTTGTCACAACTAGCACTTTCTAGAGATTAGATGCTCTGTTAGCATGGATCCTTGTGAAGGATATGAAGCTTAAGTGAGAAATCTAATACTTTCAGGGTGGTTTTTTGTGGACTAGCGTAGCCTATCTTTACGTCAAACATGTATTTTTTTTTTCCTGCAGGAATAGAAAAGGGTTTTCAATCTAAAGAAGGGATTTATGATATCACACAGCATATAAATTTTATAAAAATTACAATACTACCATTAATAAATGGTAGCTATCATGATAGCTGTATTAATCAACTAATTTGTCTACATTATAGAATTACTGTTAATTCTTCCATTCATAACTTAATGCATAAAACTGGCTTAATTCATTGAAGGCAAATTCCTATTTTCCTTTGCTTTCCTTCCAAGATTCTGCTTAGGCTAGTTACCCAAAATATAATGGCAGAAACATTGTGTCAAGCACTTTTAAATCAGTCTTTAATTTTCAATTCAGGTTTAAGGAGGCATAAATTGGATTTTCCAGTACACGTGTTTAAAATCGAATGGCTATATATCAACACACACACACACACACGTTTATTCAAAGAATCAAGGAATGTATAAACATGTACAGCAAACATTTTATGTATTTTTCTCAAAACTGTACTTTAAGAGAAATTGTCTATTTGTAAAGGTTACTTATGCTTCCACTTCCCTTTGAAATTACACTGCCTGAAACTTTTCTTAATTATGGAATAGACTAGGGTACTATTCATTGGTTACCCCATCTTTCATATTCACTGCCATATTCGTAAGTGCCTAGCAAACAGTAGGTATTTGTCAGATGAATAGAACGGTGTTTTAAAACAACCCAGAGATTGAAATTCTGAAGTTAAATTGGGAGACTACAATTTTTGAAGTGCTTTGGCTGGAAGAAAATGTGACCAGACATGATGGCATGCCTGGGTTGGGATGCTTCTAGACAAGCTATGTAAAGTTGCGGGAATAAAAAAAAAAACAAAAAAGCCATCGTCCTAGGGAAACGGGGCATTAGGAAGAATAAGAAATGTAGTTGCAGAGTGCTGCAAAATGGCCAATGGCACATTTGTAGCTTGTCTTCAACCAGAAGTTTACATGCTTTCTTGATAAGCTTCAGTAATCACATTACTTACATGTCAGCAACGTCATGGCTCCTATAGACAAGCTTTGCCAACCAGTCACTATTTGCATCGCTGTTGAGGTAAATTGTTATCTAAAACCAAGTAATGAAATTTTTGAACACCATCTATAACTCCCTGTGTACAAGACCTCAACTCTGACTTCTACTTTATTAGATATAAGGAATCTCTCAGGATATATTATGGTATTCCTATTAGCCATATTTACAAGATAGAAAATATTTAGATAGAAAGCAAATCTCATCATTTTGTACACTGTACAGATGAGGTTTATAAATTGATTTTTAGCACCAGATATACAATCCAACACTGCGAACAATTTATTTTAAATTCAATTTTTCATTAGTCATGATGGCATCTTCTCTCAATAAACATAAATGCTGTTTTATGGACTATGTGATAATAGAAATTATCATTTAATAACCAATTATCTTAAGATCAGGCTGTATTAACAATAGCCAGGTTTAGTAACTTAGCCCTAATCATGAAAAATCTAAGATCTGAAGAACCAAGGGTTCCCAGAAGTCCCTCTTTTTCCTTACGTCCCAGCTCTAAGTTTCAAGAATGGAGTATATTAAGTGCTAATCTGCCATGAAGAGATGGAAGCAATTCTTTAAAACATAAGGTAGAGTATCATTTCTTATTTTTGCTCAAATCTTGAGTAAAATCAGTTGTGACTGCTATTTAAAAAAAAGACTCAAAGACATCTGACTTAAATCCCTTTTAGATTAACATGAGCTATGCAATTTAATGTTTCAGATTACTGAAACATTAAATCATGTGCCGAATACTAATGTCAAATTAAAAAAAAAAAACAACCCTATAAAGGTATGTAATCATTAATTTGCAAATGCGAAAAATGAGGCTCAGAAGTTGCCCCAAACCAGTCAATTGGTGGAGCAGAGCTTCAAATCAAGGACGTCTACTACACATATTGGTCAAAATCATCTAAACCTATAAAAAGCATAGTTTATAATAAAAAGCACTTTTAAACATCAATCAGAATTCTAAAAAACTGTCTATAAAGAGCTTACTTACACTAACTTCATTTAATCCATCATTTGTTAAAAAAGAATGGCACTAAGTGAAACTCATTTCAGTCTTAATGTTTTCTACAAAATAAGTTAACTTTAAGCAAAACAATTATCATTGATGATAAATGCATTTCATTATTTATTTAGATGTTTAAGCTCTCGCACTAGATTTTTACAAGCTGGTGAACACTGACAAATTATTTCTCCCACAGAACTATAACCACACATTCCCAGACAGTATAAATATATGGTTGAACTAACATTAATACACATCACCATTTTATCAATTACATAATAAAACAAATTATCAAGTATCCAAATATTAAGTTACACAGCTCAAAAGGCATATAAAATATTAGATGTCTGCTCAATTCATTAGCAGAAACCCCCTTTTTTTTTTTTTTTTGCAAGAGAGGTTGGGAAGAAAAAAAATCACACTTCAAACAAAAATAAGTTGTAAACAACTTCGGATTAAGATAAAAAAAATTAAAAGAATTTTGAAATTTATGATTATAAATTGTTTTAGCTACAATAACTAAGCATCTCTACCTTAAAAAATTTTTTACTAAATTAAAGAGCATATTCTACATGTTTTGCACAAGACAAAGGCAACATTTTACTAAAAATACTTAATAGCCCCCTCCCATTCAGTTTTCAGGCCCTCCCTGTAAGTTGCACCCCAAGTGCAAACATTAAAATTAACTGTAAGGCTTTTTTGTCTGGAGACATTAAAGACATGTGCTTCTATACAATGTAAATTTTCAAAATGGAGGCTTTCCATAACAGCACAAAATGAGATTTTTTAGAAAGACATTAAATAATCACTGTAAGACTTGGTATTAAAAAAAAAAGTTGAGCAAACCTGATGCATACATGTATGATGTGGGAGATGTAAACATAAAGTGAGCAGGCAAATAACCATGTAGGTCTACTTTCTGTTTGAAATGACTGAAGGGATATATAAACCAGATAAGGTCCAGAGTGTTCATAGTTCCTGGGATTTCAGTTCTATATGAAACCAAAAAATACGAGTATTGTGCTGGGTATTTTGGCACCTAATCTTTCTAAATTTCTTATATATTGATAAGATTCTGGCATGGGAATAGATTTAAAGACATAATACTGCATGATTTCAGGAAAAGTCGATTGGTACAAATGAAAAGCACATTTTAAATGCTGAACAACAAGAATCTTTTGCTAAGTGTCAAAAGAGGCTGATCGTAACCCAAACATAAAATAAAGGCTGCAATTCTGTCAAGCTTGTGGCCTGGTAAAACTGCTTTACAATACTCCTATGGAAGCTTCAATAGACTTATTCACCAAGCCAACCTATTAGCTAACATGTATGACAAATTAGGTCCTGTCTCAAGTTCCACTTCCGGGGCCATGGCATCAGGCACCCCAGTTTTATTGAACACAACAGTTGTTTCTATGACCATTGGAGTCTTTGAAGCGCAGCCGCATTTTAGGACGATACTTCTCTAAATACAAAAGTTGCTTGCTGTTAAAAGCTCCACGCCGCTTTCTGGAAGGAAAAAAAAAAGGTAGGAGTAATTAAAGCAAAATCCCTCACATTAAGGTTTACTGTGCTTAGGCAATTATCACCTCTCATGGCAATTTTATCTTTTGATTATTATACTATAACTAATACAGAAATATGGACCTGCATACATGTGTAAATATAAAAAGTTATAAAGTTAATTTTTCAAATCTTGAGTGGTTAAAATTAAAATTTATGAATCCAATTATATGAAGTCCAAAAAGAGAAAAAAATAATTTATGGTAACAGAAGTCAGAGAGGTTGCCTCTGGTGGCAGGGAAGATGACTACGAAGGTACTTTCTGGAAAAGTCAAAATATTCTATATATTGTACAAGGTGGTTGTTTTATTTGGCTGTTACTGACAACTCGTCTACCTTTAAAACCTGTGCATTTTATTGAATATTAACTGTACCTAAATAAAGGCAAATAAGCAACATATTCAATCAAAAACAATTCAAAAAATTATTATTGGACTAGAATCTAATGTGAACATCTACACAGAATGCAAAAAATTGGTTGTTGGAAAAAAATGCTTTCATAGTGCTAGTTAACACATTAAATAAGGAATTGGGAAAAAATTTCATTATAAACTTACTGTCTTATGAACTGTACTGCATCTTCATATTTCATTCCACCTTCAATTAATGCTAGGGCAACAAGTACTGGAGCTCTGGTAAGGTAAGAATTTTGATAAATCATTTTTTCAAAATCAAATCCTGGAAAATCCAACAGTCCAAACATTCCCCAATACAGAACTACTATTATTTACTATACTTCCTATGTTAAATAATATGTGTAGTAAATGTTAGCTTTACGTTAAAAAATTAAATTAATAAAGTATCAGCAAACCCCGATTTTATCTAAAACCAAAAATGAACTATACCCTTAACTATTACAAATTAAACCTAGAAGTTAAAACTTGTATTGGAAGGTGATTTTGAAAATATTTAGGGGAAAAGCAACATCTTGATAAATGCAGATAATTTTTTCCTGAATTCCAAGCAGTAAAATATTTTCCACTTCAAAAAGGATTTGTTTTTAAACATAAGAATGCATTTCCTTAAGACTTTCTGAAAGTTTGCTTTGTTTTATTATTAATGAGATTGTGATACAGTTGCATGCAAATCACCCCACGGCCATCCATTTTCATTTCACTCTTCACTAGGAGAACAGGACTTTTGGCGTGGAGGTAGAGATTTACAAATTCTAGATGTGCATATTTTGGCACTACTTGGTAATGAGTTCCTACTGAATCAGAATCTCCAGGATAAAGGACCTTGTCAAAAGTACACCATATGCACTTTAAACTACCTTCAAGATAATTCATATTCCTTTTCCTCAATGAGCTTAGACAACAATTCCAACACCATAGATATAGTCTAGCATACACTATTAGCTCTACAAAAAATTATGCCCATAGAGTTTAGTATAAATCATAGCTACAGCATGTTAGTTTCAGCTGTGCTGGAAATACATCATGTTGTTATAACCAAGTACTTTTTAATTTAGTTCAGTAAGTAATATAACAAAGCAAATTGATTCATGAAGTGATAACTGAGTCTTTAATGGAGTCGATATCAAGTTTTCACTGGAATTAAGACCAATATCATTAACTGGATTAAGAAATTCTCTTACCTCCCAAGGCCTGCAACACAATGAACAGCAATGCAACAACCAGGTTCTTCACGAAACTTAATTTTTACAAGACTTAACCAGTCGTCAACAATCTGGTTGGATGGTGGTGCACCATCATCAAAAGGCCAATCCTAAATCAGAAAAATATTTAAACTTTTTTTTTTCTTTTTTAAATATCACACTAATAATTCTAAATTTCTAACACTCAAATGTTTTCAAATGCATTTTAACATGTTTAAACATGTTCTATGTTACCCGTCAATGAAATGCAAATAAATGCTGAATCTTTAACAAAGATCTTTTATTACTTCAAAGATCTCAGCTTTGAAATTAAGATATTACATAATTTTTTAACTTAAAAATTAAACTTTCTGAAGTTGATTTATTTGAGTAAGCTTGTATCACAGTATCATAAACGCACCGGAACTACTAAATACTTACAAGAACATGGATGCCTTCTTTCTCCACAAGAGTAGTGTCATAAGTTGCTTCACATACTCTTACTATTGTGGTAACTCCGTACTTCTTAAGTTCCTGTGTAAAACGCAGGTTGAAAAAATACTCAATAAAGTCTTCATTCTATTGTCACTATCGTCACCTTTTTTATCATTTTGATCATTTCTCCAACAGGTATTGCACATTAACAAAAAATCATGGGATGAATATGCTTAACAGGGAAGTGAAATCTTATTTTAAATGACAATACTAGAATAGCATGAAAGGAAGAGGGAATGTTAAACATTACATGTTTTAATTCTAAGCTTTAAAAAAATTTTCATGGCCTTTCAAATACTGTTTATAGTCATGGTAACACTGGCTAGTTGGAGATGAAGCACTAACAAAAGAGAATTAGAAACAATTCAGAGATAAAGGTAAACAGAACCAAAGGAATAACTCATGACTGTAAGTAATCTGACTTTAAAACCATAGACTTCAAGATTATGCATTACTACTAAAATATTAACTCTTCTGGCATTTAAAAAATACATAGATGGTCATCAAAGGTATTTTTAAGATCTGGAAGGCCTATTTCTTATTTCTGAGCATTGGTACACACACATATATAAAATATGTATGCATTCAAATAAATTATTCAGCACTCTATTCCTTCCTTATAGCCAAAAGAAGTTGGTAGTGAGACAGTTTTGGCTATCCAACGACCACCAGAAAGAAGGAAAATTAGTAACTGAAAATTGAATTTTATGTATTAATAGTGGGTCCATGACATAAACTAACTTTGGTTTATGGTATTAGCTATTAGGCTCAACTGATATGTGAACAATCCATGTAAATGGCAGCCTTCCTCCTGTAAATTTCATGTGAAGATAAGCAAGAGCCATACCATTATACTGTCCACATATAATTTTAAATTAAGCAAACTTTGAGGCATGGAAACCTAGATATCTTATAAATCCAAACTAGCTCAAGTATATGCCCTTCTTGAAATGTATAAAATAATTTACCTTAAACCTAAAGAAATCACTGATATTTCATTTCTGGAAATTGGAACTGCAGGCATACTACCTCGGAATTTTCCAAAATACTTTGTTAGACAAAAAGCGCACTATTAAACTGCAAGTTTAAGACATTAGAAAGTTTCAAATCTTACCTCTATAAATTTGTTTAAGGTCGCATTGGTTGGATTGTGTGTAATAAGAAATCTCATGTTCTTGTATGTAACTTCCACAGGAGCTGGACGGTTCATTCGAGCCATGTTAATTTAGTTAAAAAACACTCAATAGGGTTATGAAAGAATTTAAAAATTGAATACAGAAATGATGCAAAGAAACTGAGTCTACTTCAATATACTCCACTTGAAATTCTCAGTGCTTTGAGTATGAAGTTGAGAGTAATGGGAAATGAAATGAACCTCCTAACAAGCAGCAGCAATTCTTTGATCCAGTAATACTGAGGCAATAGAAAGGAAGTGCACTGAGGTTTACCCCATCCAGGTCAGAACTCTTGTAAAATGCTCTGCAGATTTCAATTCAACACTTCTGTGTCCAGGTTAACCACTCTTACGGGGGCTTCTTGGTGGAGTAGTAGTGAATTTCTACAGTTCACTTGTCTGCATACAGGTCGTGCTGTGCCTGGCAGTAATCTCCACTGCCCTTCAGAAACTCCATAAATGTGTGACCAAGAACACCACAGAACTGCTGTTTAAAAGAAAAAGAGAGAGAGAGGAAAAAAAGTTGTTTTCCAATTCAAAAGGAACATGTTATGCTGCTACAATATTTAGGCACACAACTATTTCTTCAAATTTGGGCTCGAGCCACCTCTACAACTTTTACTTGAACCACAAAATACAAGGATTACAGATTAAACCAGTAAGCATAAAACAAGCATTCACAAATAAATTACTTTAAATTGAAAGTACCGATATAATTAATACAAAGATCCTTCAAAGAATACCACTGTTACATTTGGTCAATACGCCTTATACATATACTTCTATTAAGTATTCCTTTTAACAGTTGGTTGTTTGCTTTCCATTTTCATGAAATTTACTGATTTTTTCCAACTAATAAAATATTATTACATATTATAAACTTTATGAAAACTTTGAAGCTGTTAGTCTTCGCTTAACTAATTTAGCATTCCCTTTTAACAAATTTTCCTCATTTAAGTCTCTAGAAGTTAATTAACTTGTTACATGAAGTATTATAAGGCTGTATATTTATAAATTTAAAAAAGAATTCCCATTTATAATTATAAAATATATCCATAATTTCAATAATACTCTTGCATTTTAAAAACGAAATTTCCCTCATCCAGCCTAAAACTGAATCTAATTCAGGGTGCAAGAAGAATGGGGTGGGTGGTGAAAATTACCTGGTACTTCTTTTCATAGGTATCAAAATCAAAGTAATCATCCAGTAATCAATAACTATATATCTACCCCAAATTTCCTTAAAGAACTAAATCAATTTTATGTTACTATCAAACATTAAACGAATACAGCCTATTTTCATCTTATGTACATAAAAAGCACTGATGTTAATATTAGTCTTCTTACAAGTAGTTCATAAGAACTTGTATATTTAGGAATACAGGACTAAGAAATATTAATAGCAGTTTAACAAGAGCACCAAGTGCCAGCCACAGTCCCAAACACTTTACATGTACTTTCAAGAGAATAAAATTTTATAACAAAAGTTTCCATTAGTTTTCTATGCTTAAATTTAAATATTTAAAAGGCTTAACATTAAATTCAAACATCTGCTCCTATTTTCATTTTACACCTTGAAGTCCCACTTAGCTGGGTCAAAAAATTAGTGACTAAATTATCCATTAAGGACTTCATTCTATTACAGTGAAGAGAGGCTGTAGTAACCCGGAAATAATTTCAATTATAATCTCACCTCGAGTCCTAAATATTACTTCCTTAGGAAAAAAAAGTGTATTCTTGCACCTTTCTGATGACATACTTTGAATTAAATAAATCACCTGTAAAGCTGTTAAAGGCAACCACTTTATCTCAGTAATCTGATTCCAGTTACTATCTTTTTGCAACTGTAGGCCGATTTATAAGACAGTACTTCACACAACCATTTCCATATTTAACAGCTAAAATTCCTGTTACAGCTAGTGTGACCATATTCCTTCATGTAATCAAGTTACCAGGAAGCAGAGAAAGCAATACAGAAATAATTCACCTAGTGAACTGGTTATTTTTACTAAGTGGAGTCACACAGCGGCTTGTGT